ACATTTTCTAGATCTGTTTGGAGGAGTTAGGGTGAGGATGGGGCTCCTTGCTACACTGCTTCCTGCTACTTTTCCATCTTGACCATGCTCCAGTACCAATCATTTTGGAAAGTAGCTTGGAATTACACAAATAAAATGACCAAAGTGTCCTTACCCTTTCATTGAGAGATTCCACTATTAGGCTTATAGCCCAAAGAGGCCGTTGATCAGAAGAAAGCTGCCCCCGTGTATGAAAATTATTAATAGCAGCACTTTTTGTAACAGCAGAGAATTGGAAACAAAGTAGAAGCCTATAGATTGGGGAATGGCTTAACCAATAGTGATATGTGAATGTAATGGAATATTACTACATTCTAAAAACTTGGACTCATGAGGAGTGAAAAGAATCATGGAAAGTAAACAGAACCAAGAAATCAGTTTACACAATGACTACAGCAATGTAAGCAGAAAGAATAACCATACAGACAAAATTGAAAGTTAATGTTGAAAAATTACAAAGAACAAGCATGGCTCAGAAGAAGAGATATGAAAAGATATCTCTACCTCATTCATTTCTCAAGGTGGTAGGTACACAAGTATTGTACGTTACAAATATTTTTAGACTTTTTCAATGTATTGATCAATTATGCTGGGTTTTTTTCCCCTTTTTCTTTTTTTGGTCTTAAAATTTCTATTTGTTTTATGAAATGGCTTTCTGGGAGGAGGAGGGATGCTTGAGAAATTTATGGTAATATAAAAATAGAAAAGACATAAATTAAAAACGTATTTAAATAAATAAGTACATTAACTCTACTATACTTCTGATAGGTTACTCAGTATACTAGAAAGGATAATTATTCCCTATACTCTAAAAGCCTCTATGTGCTTCATAATTTTAAAAGCACTTTTTGTTTAAGTGAAATAGATATTATTTTTAGGTGTTTGGCTGTTTGTTGGGAATATTTTATAGCCATTAAACAAGTAAAATTAGAAATATAGCAGTAGCAGGTAAGTAAACCTAAACCCAGACCTAGATCTAACGCACATAGAATTGAACTTGGAAAAACCTTGTTGGTAAGTTTGTTTTGCATTTTAGTTCCTTTTTCTTGATTACTTTTATCTAGTTATTTTATTCCTGCTTTTGTCTAGTTATTTTATTCTTTTTCCTTTTTTTTCTCTCTCAGTCAAGTAGATTCCTCCTGCTTCTCTCCTTCTCCAAGTTCTATTTGTTAGATTTTTTTTTTACTTTCATTTTTTATGCCCCTTTCCAGAGAGAATTTCTCCCACCTGTTCTCTTCATTGTCCATCTTCTCTTTCTGTTTACTCTAGACCTTCCTTCTTCTGGCTCACAATCCCTGTACTTACCTAGTCTCTCTATTCTCTACGTTCTTCATAGAGTCAAAATTTTTGAGGTATCCATTCTGAACTTTCCCCTTTAAGCAGTTTCTGCCACTACCTTATAACAGAGTTTGCCCCATAAATTTCCTTTTTCCATTGTGTCGCACCTCCAGAAAAATACTGATTCCTGCAGGTCCTGTTTCCCTCTACCTCATCAACCTCCCCAGCATGTCCCTGTTCATGTAGCTGACCTCTAACCTATAGCCTCCCCCTTGTCACTTTCCTTCCCCATTTGCTTCAACTATATTCTCCCTGGACCCATGCCCCTCCAATCTTCAGGTACCAGTTGCCCTCAGAATTTTCAATTGCATTCTCCCAAGGCAAGGTATGTGATCTTTTTAGACACCAAATTAAAGGACTCGGCACATCATCCCCATCTCCCTTCATAGAATGTCTCTTTTAGCCATAGGAGCATTCATCATGGGAACCTTTTTTCACCATCAAAACAAGGTGCCCCCCCTTCAGTCTCTTCCCATTCCTCCTCACCCACTTTCTTATAGGATTTTCTCTTCCTGAGAGACTACAGGGTTCATCTCCTCAGTAGTAGTCTTCACTTTGAGTTGGGTTCACCATCCACTCCCCTCTGTCTTCCTCTTCCTTTCCGTGAACTCTCCCCTTTTGTAAAGTTGTCCTACAAAAGGCATTGATTCACCTGCAGGTGAGGTGTTGTGATAATGCTCCAGGCCTGCTTCCACACCATTACCTCCACCCAACTTCTGACTTTACTCCTGTCTCCTTACGTATGTTGAGAAAGAAGTCTCTTCTCTCTCTGTTGCTATTTGCTTTCCTCTGCTGCTATATTCATTTATACTCATGCGTTTCTGTTGTCTAGGGTATTCAAGAAACAAATAATCTCTTCAGTTCTAGTTTTTATTTTAGAATGTTTTGAATACCTCTTTATTATTGAATGTCCATCTTTTTTCATTTATAATTTAGATCCTGTTTGCAGGGTAGGTCATCCTGGGTAGCTTCCAGAGCTCCATTGCTTTTCAGAACACATTTCATTCTATACTCTGTTTTCTTGTGGGTACAGAATAGTCTTGTTATTTGAATTTCCTTTTCTTCACATTTGCAAGTCTTTCTCTTGGTTGCTTGCAGAATTTGTTGTTTCTGAATTGGATTATTAAATTTAACCACTCTATGTTTTGGAGTTTGCAGCTTTTATTTATTTCTTATTTGTTGGCAATCTATCATTCTTTCAATTGATAGTTCTGTGTTCAGAACTGACAATTTCTTGTATTATTGTATAATGCTGTTCACATTTTTTGACTTGTCTTGTTCTGAGAGACCTATAATTCTTAATTTGTTTTTCAGCATACTGTCCTCAAGATCAATAAGATCATGTGTTCCTTTTGATATTATTCCCTTTTGCTTTTCTTCTAGATTTTCTTCACTTCTGTGTTTTTGTATCCCCAAACAGTTGTTCTATTTTGCTTCTGTGGTGAGGCTTGCCATCTCAAATTCACATTTTTCTATTCTACCAGTTATTTATTCTGTTTGGGCCTTGCATTCTACTCTCATAATTCTCATTTCTCTTTTAATCCACTCAGAAACAGGTGTTATAGTTATATGTTCTTCTCAAATTCTACAGGGTCTTCTGTCTCACCAAGTATTGGTTCATATCCTTTTGTTTTGCAGTATTTATTCATAAATGCCTGAACTCCTTTACTAAATCTGGAGATCATATTTTCCTCAGCTGTTAATGTTTTATCTGTTGATTTATATGCTTATGCTCAAGGCTTTGAGATTAATTTTTTTCCCTCTTGAGATCTTTGGTAATTTCAGACTTTTTTCACCTTTATTTTCACTATTGCTCTCTTTCTGACTCTCTCCCTTTAATGGTGTTTTCTCAAAGCCTCACAGCCTACTCCCAAACTGGACAATTCATGATTCACTAGCCTAGGTCTTTGCCCAGATTGACTTGTGAGGGGACAGAACTGGAAGCTAAATGCTGGGCTCTTTCCCTCAGACTTACTGGAGTGCCGCATTACCCTCTTTCCCCCTCTTCCCTTTTTCCCGACATCCATGCTCCCATTCCCTCTGTTCCTCAGTTCTGCTCAGCAGTATTGAGCACTTCCACACTGGTGCTTTTGCAGCCCAAGATGATTTCTGTCTTCCGGAGTTTGGATCTCTGAGGCATTGGGAAGAGGGAGTGGGTCAGGGTATTAAATTAAACTCTTATTTCAGGTCCAGACTCATGGCTTGCCCTGTTCCCTCTTTTCTACAGAGATTTTTTTGTAGCACAGAAAGCTGCTGCTGTACTGGCTACCAAAGTCCAAAAAAATTTGCATAGTCTGGAAATGTGATAACACTAGAAAGAAGGTGGGGGTACTGGCGTATGTATCTAGGTTTTTTTGCAAGTTTGTGGATCAGTTTGGCTAGTGGTTAGTGAAGCCTCTCTGCCATTATCATACTGGATGAGTGGGGAGTGGGTACTACACATGCTTAGGGTAGGTATCAGTTCATGGATTTGTTTTCGTTGTTTTGTTTTGACCTTCTTTTGGGTCTTGGGTCTCCTAGACTGTTGAGACAACTGAAGTTGCATTATCTTTAGCATTTAATTTCTGTTTAGGAGAGGTTTGAGAGGATTAGAAAAATATCTAGTTCTCTATCTTGTTCGTAGTTTTGTGAGAATAACCTGGGTAGTTATAGAAAATTTACCTTCTGAATACCAAATCACTATAAAATAAATATGTTCATTTCCTTATTCATAGAAATGTCCTATTCCACCTCCCACTAAAAAAAAGGGGGGGGGGCAATTTATTCCTCACCTCCAGCAACTTTTGTATTCATTCCACTTAAGCTACCTACAAGCATGGCCATACCTTGCCTATCATCACATAGTATTGCTTAGCTTCCAAGATCATGACCTCTGACATTTCCCTCACAACTACAAACCCTTAGCCTTCTGAACTGTTTTCTTTTAAAGAAGAAAGCCAAGTATAGAATAATGAACTTAAGGAAACTAATGTGGCATAGTGGATACAGTGCCAGATTTGGAATCAGGAAAATCTAGGTTTATATTCTCCTTAGATACTTACTGGGTAGCTACGTGAGTCAGGAAGACTCATCTTTCTGAGTTCAAATCCAGCCTCAGACACTTACTAGCAGTGTAACCCTGGGCAAGTCAGTTAACGCTGGATGCCTTAGTTTACCTGCCTGTAAAATTATCTGGAGAAGGAAATGGCAAGCCACTGTAGTAGTTTTAACCAGACAATCCCAAGTGGAGTCAGGAAGAGTAGGATATGACTGAATAATTGAACTAAAACAGCTAGATACTTACTATGTGACCCTGGGCAGATCACTTAGCCTCTATCAGCCTTTTTTCTGTAAAATGGAAATGATAATAGCACCTACTCCATAGGCTTGCTATAGGACCAAATGAGATTATGTAGGTACAACACTTCACAAATCTTTAAGTACATCAGCTGTTGTTACTAGTCATTTTACATATTATTGCCCGTCTGTATCATTTTCCAGTAACTAAAGTAAGACAAAACACTTTTGAGAAACATCTCCACTATTTAAAATACATGAAAATGTTTATTAAAGTGTGTTACATACCTGTCACAGCAATGATCTCATTTGAATTAAAAACCTTAATTTTCTCCCCCCACAAACAGGTTCATACCAAATTCCACTGCAGGCAGGCCCATGATCCTGGCACAGATACATCCTGTGTGACGTTTTCCTATGATGGCACTGTCCTTGCCTCTCGGGGAGGTAAGTGTAAGAGAATTCTTCAGTATGTGTTGTTCAGGGTACCACTTTCAAAACAAAATAAGCATTTTAAGATCAAAAGTTAACATCCTAGAAAAGATCAAAATTATCTGTTTTTTTATATTTAGTATTCACTTTTCATTAAAATAACTAATCACTGTGCTGCCATAGGTTATTTTAAAAAATCAAGGAAAAATATTTTTAGTGTTCTATTGATTTGCCTAAATCTCAATTTTAGTCACTGTTTTTCATCACAGTTCTAAATTCTTCAAGGATCCATTCTAAGGATGAGCTGTATCTCTACTGCTTATTTGCTAATCTTCTAATTATACTTCCATATGTGCTGCAGTACAATTTATTCTCTGCAACACTGTACCATTGTATCATCTTCAACCAATGGGCCCACAAAATAAGGGAAAATGTACATAATTGTAACTTTCTAAGCAGAAGTAGTATAGATCCATTTTTTCCTCTACTGTGTCTTTGACCTGAGAACCATAGTTTATTCAACCACATAGCTCTACTCTGCTTTCCAGGAAATATTTAAGACAATATTTATTACATTCTTCTTCTGTATCTTGAGTCCATCATCTCTGTTAAGAGTGGGATAGAATAATTAATTAATGACCCACTGGAATTATGATCCATGACATTAAGTCTTCCAGAGTTACTTATTTTTGCTATGTTGTTGTTATGTAAATTGTTCTCATTCTCCTCACTTCATTCTGCAGCATTTCATACAAGTCTTCCCAAGTTTCTTGAACCTGTCTTACAATTTGTTCAACCATTCCCCAACTGATGGACACCCCCTCAATTTATAGTTCTTTGCCACTACAAAAAGAGTGATTTTTTATATATGTATATATATACACATATATAAAAATATATACATATATTTATAAATATATACATATTTATAAATGTATACATATATACATATATAAATATATATACATATATTATATATTATGTAAAAAAATATATATATATATACATATATTTGTACCTGTAGGTCCTTTTCTTTTATCTCTTTGGAGTATATATCTAGTAGTGCCTAGCACATAGTAGGCACTTAAATGCTAGCTGACTGAGTAGTGGTAAGTCAGAGAGTATGATATTTAGTTACTTTTGAGGGCCTGGTTCTAATTGCTTTCTAGAATGACTGGATCAATTTGTAACTCCACTAGTAGTAGTACAGTACATTAATGTTCCTGTTTTCTCACAGTCCCTCAAATATTTGTCACTTTTTTTTGTCAACCTGATGTGTGTGAGGTAGAAAGTCAAAGTTTCCACACAAAAAAAAAAAGTCGGAGTTTCAGCTGTCTGTTCTTGAACCATTTATCAATTATGGAATGCTCACTTGGTCATTTAAAGCCTTCCACGGTATGGCTTCCAAATTCCTTTCCAGTTGTATCTCAATTTTTCCCCTTTGTGAGCTCTTTATTCTATTCTCCCGCTTCTCTCTGTTTCATGAGTCAAACTGGCTTGCTAGCATTTCCCTGTGTACACACTTCCATCTTCTCATTTGCCTTTGCACAAATAGTTCCCTCTGTCCGGAGTTCAGTCTGTTCGTCCTTACATCCTCTTTGTAAAATTCCTAGTTTCATTCAGAATTCAGCTCAGGTGTTGTCTTATATGAAGCTTTTCCTGATTCCTCTAGTTATTAGCACTCTCTCCTTATTGACATCACTTTGTATTTAGTTGCCTGTATACATGTACTAGAATGTTACCTCATCAAGGGTAGTGACTGGTTTTTGTTTTTTTGTTTTTAGTTTTGTCAGTGTACTGGTTGTTCCACAGTCCTTTCAACATTTGTCATTTGAATTCCTGATTAATCTTTTTTGTTTTTTTCTTTGCTTCCCAGGCCTAATGTCATTTTTCCTTGGCAGAGGAGGTAGAAATGAAAAGAGTTAAATCACTCTGCCTTCTCTTTCTAGTCCATTATTACCCAACTATCCACACCAAGCAGCAGTCACATCTGATCTGATTTTCCTTGACTTACCTCCACCCCTGGAGTTATCTATACCGGTTAAACCACAGGTTCTGTCCTTGTGTCTCTCAGGTATAAGGCAGCTTTGCTTAAATTTGAGCTGTCATTCTGTCCAGGGTCTAGTCAGTAGCCTGACAGAGGCAATGTCTCCTCTAGAGCTCTTTCTGTTATTGTAAACCTCTTTTAGTATCTTCCCATCTCCTCTTTTCTTTTCTCTCTTCTTTGAATATTCTTTAGAGGGTCTGACCATTTTGTCTGTATATTCATTCTAGTAAGATTGTCTTCTCTTGTGTTTAGTAATACAGAGATAATACTCCAAAATTCTGTTTTAGTCCAATCTCTTTCCTTCATTCTATACCCATATCTTTCACTCTATGTTAAAGATGCTTAGAGATAGCGCACTGGTTAGAGCACTGAGTCTAGAGTCAAAAAGACCTTATTTCAAATCCAGCCTCAGTCATGTACTAGCTTTGTAATCCTGGGCAAGACTGCCTGCCTCATTTTCCTTAACTGTAAAATGAGGACAATATTAAACCTCACAATGTTGTTGTGAGGATCAAATGAGATAATATTTGCAAAGCACTTAGCAAAGTGCCTGGCACATAATAGGGGCTATATAAATGCTTATTTCTTCTCTCTCTCCTGCCTCCCCAACCCCCCATCAACTTTTTGTCTTGCTGTCACCAGCAATTCAGGAAGGCAAAGCCAGAAATCTGAAGCTTTTTACTTTTTTGCTTTTGGCAATGACTTTTCTCCCTTCAATCTACTGAAGTCTTTGATCAGTATTTCATCCTTTTTTTATCCATCACTGCCACATATATTTCATTGTTTCTCTGTCCCCTACTTCTAATGATTTTTTCAGACTTCTTCTTCTTTTTTTTCTTTTAACATTTGTGCTTTGACCACTGTAAACTTTGGAGACATCCTGTCTGCATCCTCTTTCTTTAGAACAGTCTGGAGTGATCTAATTGATCACATAACCAAGCTCCTCAAAACCTTTCATTGATTAACAGTTGAATTTTAGATCAAGTACAGATTCCTGTCTTTGGACTTTGAATCACTCAATGATTTTATTTCCACCCATCTTCTACCCCTCTGTGTTCCTCATACTCTTGAATCATTAGATTTGGAGTTAGAAGAGATCAGAGATGAATTAGTCCAAGTCCCTTGTTTTACAGATGACTAAAACTATGATCTAGAAAAGTGAAGTGATTGGTCACTGAACTGGTAGAAAGTCACTGAACTGAGACTGTAATGTACATTTTGTAAAGCCAGAGCTAGTCCTGTTTTCATAATAACATGTTGCCCTTGGGACTTCTGGGCAAGTTGGCCTGCTGAATGGGAGGCAGGCTGCCCAGTTCTTATGCACCTACTCTAGCAAAACCCTTAATTTTGCACCAGACTGAATAATGATTAAGAAATCCAGTGAGAAACTATAGTAAAAGTGACTTATTCTGCTACATAAAAAGTCAGTTAGGAGGCCAAAAGCGATAAACCCTTTCCAGAAAAGTTAATGCCAGCTTGACCAGAGATAGGGCATTTGTAGCCTGTTAAACTCTGTGTCTGGAGGCAGCACAAACAAAACACTGCAGAAAAAGTCAGAGGATTATCAGAACACTCTATGCTAGGCTTCCTGGCAGCCTGGGGAAGGAAGCAGCAGTGTGAAAAGCCTAGTGCATACCCATTTAGAGCCACAATGCTCATATCGCAGTGCTCAGAATAGGCAAGCCCAGGCTTCGGGGATCTAAGGCCCTAAGTGTCTGAGAGGGCTCTGAAGATCTAGCACTATGAACCTTAAGATTCAGTTGGCAACTAACTCTGTCAGGTAAAGGTCAGCAAAAGAACCCAGGGAGCCCAGTGAGAAATCTAGTAGGGCTGGCTACCATAGCGCAAAAGCTGGTTCAGTTGTTTTTCAGTCATGTCCAGCTCCTCATGACCTCATTTGGGGTTTTCTTGGCAAGGGTACTAGAATGGTTTGCCATTTCCTTCTCAATTTACAATGAGGAAACTGAAGCAAACAGGGTTAAGTGACTTGCCCAGGGTCACACAGCTAGTAAGTGTCCAAGGTCAGATTTGAATTCAGGAAGATGAGTCTTCCTGATTCCAGACCTGGTGATCTATCCATTGCACCACCCAGCTTCGCTACCTAGCTGCCAAAAGCTGGAAAGAGGAGTAAATTAAAGAAAACACGAACCAATGTCAAAAATTATTGCAAATCTAACACCTGCAAAGGAGAGACTTCAAGGAAAAATGGATTTTCCACAAGAACTACATAAATACCTAGAAAAAAAGAAGCAAGAGATTAAAAAATTAAATGAAAGCTCTGGAGAAAAGAGTTAGAAGGAGAATAAATAGTTTATAACAGAGAATGATCCAAGAAATGTAATCCCTGAAAATTAAAATTGACTAAATAGGAATCAGTGACTCTGAAGCAACAAGAAATATTAGAACAAAAATCAAGAGATAAGAGAAAATAGAAGATAGCTCATATTAAAAAAAAAAAACTGACCTGGAAAACAGTTTAAGGAGAGATAATTTAAGAATCACTGAATTCTCTGAAAACCATGATAAAAAATAAAAACCTAGACACTATATTTGAAGAAATCATAAATGAAAGTTGCCAAGGTCTATTAGAAACAGAGGAGATTGGGGGAATGTTAAAGAGAATGTTAAAAGTGGATGAATTAGTCACATGCAAAACAAACATCCTGGTCATAAGAGAGAGGAAGGAAGGAAAAAAAAAGACTGTAATTAAAGGAGGTTGCATAGGCAGTATGAATGGATGCAGAATGTAGTGAGCAGAATCAGGAGAACAATTTAGAAAAACAATGTGGTAATAAAAACACCTTTGAAAGTCATAAGAAACTCTAATCAAAGCCATATGATGAGTTATGTTACCCACCTGCTGACAGAGAGGGAATAGACAGGAACATACATTTTTGGACATGACCACTGTGTGGATTTGTTTTGCTTGACTATGCTTGGCATTTTTTTTTCCTTTCTTTCTCTTAATTAATTTGAGGGATGGAATCAGAGTGAAGGAGGTTTAGCGATAGTGATGCCCTAAAAAAGGCTATCGAAACATTTTTAAAATGCAAGGAAGAGACTGGGAAGAGTTTCAGAAGGAAGCACAGGCAAAGACTGTTTGGAAAGTAATGTGTAGAATTTATTATATACTTTTTTTGAAAGCAGAAATTATGAAATGGAAATGTAGAATCCATGTTGAATTCTCTTTTTATGTTCCTGTGGTGTAGATGGAAATGCTCTTTTTATGGTGTTCAAGTTCAGAATTTTTAAAAAATTGTCCTAATATCATTCTTCTTTGATTCATCTTAACCCATGTGCAGTCCTTACTTACTCAAGTTTTCATCCATACCTAGAATGGATGAGGACTCCGTACATCTACTCTGTTCTCAAATCTTGTCATTTTTACCTTCATAAAATCTCCTTTATATGTCCCCTTTTCTCCACTCACACAGCTATAGACATTGTTGCAGGCCCATAACACTTCATGCCTGAACTATTGCAGTAGCTGCTGATTGGTCTTCCTGACTCAAGTTTCTCGCCACTCCAATCCATCTTTCTCTCAGCTGCCAAGGTGATCTTCTTAAAGCACATGTTTGACCATGTCACCTACTATTCAGTACATTGTGCTAGCTTCTTTCACCTACAGGATCAAATGCCAAATGCTTTCTTTGGCATTTAAAGTTCTTTACAACCTGATCCCTTCCTCCCTTTCCAGTCTTCTTACACCACCCCCTTCCACACACTCCCATAATCCAGATACCCCAACTTACTTGCTATTTCTCCGATGGAATGGTCCATCTCCCAAACTTTTTCATGGCTATTACTCTCCTTTTTTTTTCTTATCCCTCTTTAAGAGTTTGTTTTGCTTCTTAGCAATCTTCCCTTTTCTTAATTCTCTTCCCTGAACCCCTTTCATTTCTGTTTCTCTGTTGGGTAACGTATATTTCTATAACCAACTCTGTGTGTGTGTGTGTGTGTGTGTGTGTGTGTGTGTGTGTTTGTGTTCTTCCAGAGTGAAGTTCAAGTGTCACACCCACTCCCCACCACTCTCGTATTTTGTTGTATTGACTTTTACTTGTGCACCCCATTTATGTGAAATAATTTTCTCCTTTTTCCTCTCCTTCCCCCCTCTCCTAATGAGCTCTTGTTCCTTACCCTTTCCTTTCTTCTTCTGAGATCATCAAAGCAGGCCCACTGTTTAATTAGACTTCCTCTGTAACTCCTGATAATGGTAGAATTCTGAGGGGCTACATATATCATCTTCCCATATAAGAATGTAAACAGTTTAATCTTGTTTAGTCCCTTATGATTGCTCACTCAGGTTTACTTTTTTAGGCATCTCTTGAGTCCTATGTTTGAATGACAAAATTTCTCTTCACCTCTGATCAGTTCAAGGAAATGCTTGAAAGTCTTCTTTATTAAATATCTTTTTTTTTTCCACTGTAGGATTATACTCAGTTTTGCTGGATAAGTTATCAGTTGTAAGCCCAAATTCTTTGATTTCTGGAGTATCATAGTCCAAGCTTTCTGCTTCTCTATAGTGGTAGTTGCTAAATTATGTGTGATCCTTACTGTGACTCGTTGATATTTTAATTCTTTCTTTCAGACCACTTAACGGTATTTTTTTCCTTGACCTGAGAGCTCTGACTATAATGTTCCTGAGAGTTTTCATTTTGGGGTTTCTGTTAGGAAGTATCCGATGAATTCTTTTAATTTTTTTATTTTGCTTTCTACTCTATGAGATCTGCTTGGTTTTATTTGAAGATTTCTTGAAGTATGTCTAGGCTCCTTTTCTTTTCATGGCGTTAAGGTAGCTCAATGTTTCTCAGATTATCTCTCCTTGATCTGTTTTCCAGGTCAGTTGTTTTCCTGTGAGAGCTCTCACATTTTCTCTTTTTTCTCCCCCAATATTTTGACTTTGTTTTAGTATTTCTTGTTGTCTCATGGAGTCATTAGCTTCTATTAGGTCCATTCTAGTTTTCAGGGATTTTATTGCTTGGACAGGGTTTTGTATCTTGTGCCAGGCTATTTATGCTCTTTTCATAGCTTTCTTCTATAGCTCTCACTTCTTTTCCCATTTTTCCTTCTAGTACTCTCATGTGGTTTTTTAAATAATTTTTGGCTTAAAAAACCCCCAAAATTCTTATTTTAATTCTTCTGGGAGTTCTGGTTGAATTAGTGTCCAAGCTAGATTTTTCTTTGAGGATTTGCTTGTCAATGTTTTTGAGTCATTCTCTTCTACTGGATTTGTATCTTGAGCTTCCCTCTCACCATAATAACTCTGTATGGTAGGATTCTTTATTTGTTTGTTTACTCATCCTTTCAGCCTCCTTCTTAACTTTGAACTCTTATGTTAGTGCCAGGTTCTGTGCCCTCCTGGGGAGAATATCTGGGCTGAGCTTCTGTCTCTTTATGTCCTGTTGCTTTTGCAGCTCAGACTGGGGCCCCTTCAAGCTTTCAGTGATTCCAAGCTGATGTGATCAGGAGGTAGTCTGTTCACTGACTAGAAGGTCAGTTCTGCAGAAGGCCTGAGTTCTGCATGTTCCTGACTTCACATTTGGGTTTATTGGCTTGTCCCTGGATGAGAGTTTCCACCTTTTCCATAGATAGCTGCTGGACTTGGCCACTGTTAACCTGCTGGGAGGGTCTGCAGATTCCTTCCAGCTTCCATGCTGGGCTGGAAGCTAGACCCAAGTCACTGTCCTGCTCTTTGCTTCTAAACTTGTCCTTGCTGTGCATACACACCCTGGTGAAATTACTTTTTCTCCTTCCTGTGTCTGTGACCTAGGATGGAGTAGTGGCCTTATGTTACCTATTCTGCTCCCCATGCTAGTCCAGGGATCCCCTGGGTCCTCTTTCTGCCCCAATACCTGATCTCACTCCTCTTTCAATCCCCAGGTACTAGAATGCTCCTCTCCTGGTACACTGCTGGCCAGACCCTGTGCCCAGTGTCTGCAGGCCTCTCTCTTTCCCTAAGTCTGGGCTGGAAACATGACTTTGTGACTTCTTGGTTTTCCTGATCCTAATTTGGTTTGGTACATTTTCTAGATCCTTGTGGAAGAGGTTGGTTGGGGCACTTGACTGGGCTGCTGCCTCCTGGAACACTCTCCCTCCTCAGCTCAAACCTTGCATCCTAGTGAAACCTTTCCCATCCCTGCAATACCTTCCTTCTCAGATTACCTTCCGTTCACTCAGGTGCATCTGGTATGTTTTTAGCTATTTGCATGCTGTCTCCTTCATGTGAGCTTTTTGAAGGCAAGCACTGTATATTTGCCTTTGTTTGTATCCAGAGCTTGCCTTGTGTCTTTTGCCATGTTGTGGGTACTTAATGACTGCTTATTGACCGACTGAAAAAGTGATAAACTAGAATGCAGACTCTGCCAATTACTAATGGGGTCACAGTGAGCAAACCATTAAATCACTCTGTGCTTTACTGACCTTAAAATGAGGGGGACTAGAGTTGATGATCTCTAAAGGTTCTGAGTTCTCTTCCAGCTCTGGTTCTATGATCTTATGAACAGTTTGATTCTCATACATAGCCAATCTATAACTCTTTCATTATTCCAGGTGAAAATCTACCTCTTCCAAGAATACTTCCATGTCCAAATTGAATGATTGAATCTTAATTCACCCAAACTATTCTCACTTTACTCTGCGTAACCTTGAACTTCTTATATTAGGGTATAATATATATTTGCTTATCCATTTCTTTTCTCTACCAGATTGTAAGCTCCTTGTGGTCAGAGACTACTTCTAAACAACTCTTTAGAAACCCTAGAGAAGCTCGCATGGTGCCATGTTAATATTAGTAAATGCTTAATGATAATTCTTAGAATGATAACTATAATAATAATTATGTACTTTCCTCTTTTTTCTATTGTTCATCCTAAAAACAGACATTTTGGTGGTTTGATAGGTGAATGCTTGTATTATTTGTGTAACATCACAATGTAAGTCCACTCAGCCAGTAGCCTTCAGAATATTGTAAATCACTCTTCTGGTTCTAGGACTTGCCTGACCAGCCGAACTATTTAATACAGATTAATGTTTTTCTGTAGATTGTAGATTGTGGCTTTACTGGTAATTTTTTGTTAAGAATAGAAACAGTAGGTTAATATTTCATTATGAATTTTTTTTGGATCTAACCCAATAAAAACAGATGGAGATCCAGCCAGTTGCACATTAGCATACCTGCCAAATTTTGAACTTCAAAGAAAAGATCACTGGTGAGGAAAGGGGGATTTTTATTGAATCTCAATTCACTTCACTTGCATCTGATGCAAATTCCATGTTGTACATGAGGGAGATGAGGCAGGTCTCAGCTGCAGGCACTAGGGAACATGACCAACAAAGACATTGTTTGTGTAAGTTCCGGCTGTCATTCCAGTCAGGAATTAGTAGCCTGATAGAAATATAAGAATGTGATACTTAAAAAAATTCATTACTCTTAAAATGCCTAGGAAAAGGTACAGTACACAGGAGAGCAATAAATAATAGTTGCAGTTATAGTTAGATTGTGGGGGAGGGATTGACAAAGAGCATTCTTATCAATGTTAATGAATGAATAGCTTTACAAACACTTTGCTGGGGAAAGAGAGTCTATGTGGAGTTGAACTGCATTTTAGTCCTGATGGTTAGTCAATTAAGAGCTTTTGAAGAAAGCAGGATGTCCTGCAGAAATACCCAGGGGGGGAAATGCCATCTGCTTGAAAATCAGGCTTGAGAGCACTTGTTGGAGACTTTCTTTTTATCTTACAGATGCTGCTAAAAATGGGAAAGTAATATCTGGAAGTCTTCTTAATAAGAGATATTTTCCTGCTTTCTACCATTTTACAGTCTTCTAAAACAAATGGCATTTGAAAAATAAAACACTCTTTATATGTATGAACTATTTTTTTTGAAGTCATGAAACCTGCAGCATTCTTTTTCATTTTTTTCCCCTCATTTCTTTTCTAGGGGATGATACTTTAAAACTATGGGACATTCGACAGTTTAAGAAACCTCTTTTTTCAGCTGCAAATCTTCCTACCTTCTTCTCCATGTAAGTGGATGTTCTTTGTACTTAATGCTCTTAAGGTTGGCAAGGAAATACAAAATTTCCTCTAATTAGGGTTACTTACATTATTTATCATTTAGGTCAACTGAAAGAAGGCCTTGAATTTTGACCTACCCCACCCCATTCCCTCCTGCTCCCGGGCCTCTTTTTACTAACCATGTTACTTTTCTTCTTTTAGGTTTATCCTCCAGACAGTAATGAAAGTCAGGGTTGAAGGTTCCTATTGGTGCATTTTTTTGTGATCAGTTTGAAGTATGAGGTGGTTTTGAAATAAAGATATAGAATGTTCTCTTATTAGATCATATACTAAAATATGTGTGAATATATGTGTGTATAAAAATAGATTATGAGAGGCATCTTGGCTTAATGAATAAAGGTCCAGCTTTGAAATCAGAAAGACTTAGATTTGGGTTCTTTTAACATATACTAGCTGTGTGACCATGGGCAAGTCACTAAACCTCTAAATGCTTGTTCAGTTGATCAGTCATGTCTGACTCTTTGTGACCCTTTATGGGATTTTCTTGGCAAAGATAGTAGAGTGGTTTGCCATTTCCTTTTCCAGTAGATTAAGTCAAACAGAGATTAAGTGACTTGGCCAGGGTCACACATCTAGTATGTGTCTGAGACCAGATTTGTATTCAAGTCTTCCTGACTCCAAGCCCAGCACTTTATCTACCTAGCTGCCTCCAAATCTCTAAATGTCCCCAATCAATTTCCTGAGACTATAAATAATGGTCTATTAAATTAATAGATGAAATTTCCACACCAAAAATTCCCTACACTGATGAAACAACAGGTCCCTACAGAAGCTTAATTCTCTCTCTCTTTCATATACATATACAAATGAATATAGAAATCTGTACATTTATATTTTTATTTTAAACTTCAAAATCAGACCTATGATTTCATCAATACAGGGCTTTCCTGGTATAGAAATATGTTTAATACTTCATTATAAGGAAGTGTTTACATATATATGTATCTATGTATATCACATATATGCTTATATATTTTATTATATAGTATACATTTTACCTCCTTATAGTAGACTTAATTCTAATACTTACTATGCAAATGCCTTTATACATTATACTTTTCAGCCAAGCATTTGGCATCATTTATTTATTCACATCATTCCCAGTTTGATTAATTGAATATTATATCCATTTTACTAAGTAGCTAACCAAAGAAGTTTTCTAAATTACCACAGTGAATCAGCAGCAAAACTGGGATTTGAATTCCCAGCCTTGTGGTTAGATCAGTGGCAAATTTGTCTGTTAGAGATGTAATTTCACATTGGTACTCACTGTAACTAGTGTTGAAAGGAACTGAATTACCAAATTTAGGAAACTGCAAAATAAAAAAAAAAAACAAAACTTAGAAATACCTTAGTTATAGTTTTCATCTTTTAGAAAAACATGTCATTTTAATATGTACACAATTCTTAAAGTTACTGTCAATAATTCTGATTATGCATTTTGGATCATATAATAAATTACCAGAAGTTAGGTTTGTGCATATGTTTGTGTGTGTGTTTTGCAAATTATTTAGACAACCAGACTCCTATTAACAAGATCTATTAATAACAGCAGTCCAGCTTGTACTTCATTTAATGGTGGCTGGCAAAGCCAATTCAAAGCTTTAGGGATAAAGAGAATCAGTCTAAAGAAATAATTCCGTCATCGTAGAGTTTGGTCATAAAAGTAACCTGGTCTTTTCTTCCCTCTTTCTATTTCTAGCCCAAATTCAGAAATAAAGATGAAAATACTTAGGAATTCACTTCTAATGTTTTGCATACTTTATTAATAATAATTGCACCATCACCTTTTCAAGCGCTTGTGACAACTGTTTGTTTCTTCTCAGGACTGATTGCTGCTTCAGTCCAGATGATAAACTTTTGGTCACTGGAACATCTGTTAAGAAGGGAGGTGGCAACGGCAGGCTTGTTTTTTTTGAACGCCAGACATTCCATAAAGTATATGAAATCGATGTCACCAATGCAGTATGTATTTTTTACTTTACTTTTACCATTGAAATAAAATTTGCATTGTAATTAGGATCTTCTTTCACTTTTTAGTATACCCCCTCAATGTAATAACATTATGTTTACCAATGACTTTCCCCCTCACAGTCATTTGGGGCACTTTGGGCAGGGAGGGATTGCCATATATTGGGACCTTGCTGAGTGGGGAACTGCCACCACATTTGCAGTAGATAGACCTTTTACCATGGCTATACCTGTCCTGATGCACCTTTGCCCCCCTTCACACTGCTCTAAGAAGGAATTTCACCAGAGAACAGAGGAGAAAGAGAATCTCCCAGGGCATATCTATATATGTGTATAAATTTAGAGGAATAGTTCAGTGGAGAGAGCAATGAAATTTTTATATATGCAAAGGGTAACAAATGCAGGGACTGTTGTTCTGGACTAGCAGAACTTTTCTGTATGTCCCTGAGTGTTAGTTTTGTCTTCGAATAAGGCTCAATGTTGTTGTTCAGTTGTTCAGTTGTGTCCAACTCTTAGTAACCCTGTGGACCATATTGTTCATGAGTGTTTTTTTTTGGCAGAGATACTGGAGTGGCTTGCCATTTCCTTCTGCAGTGGATTAAGACAGATAGGGTTAATGACTTGCCCAAAGTCACATAGCTAGTAAGTGTCTGAGGCCAGATTTGAATTCAGGTTTTCCTAACTCAGATCTCTATCCATTGAACCACCTACTTGCTTCCGTAGACTTAATATGGATTCATTCTACTTTTGCTTAATTGACAATTTACCTGTATTAGAAATAGTTTTAATGACTTGAAAGCTTCAGGCTTGTTCTCAGGCATTCCTATCAGAAATAGATGGAATATAGTAAAAAATGCAATTCTCTGAAGTAGAAATACACCCTTTATAGCTCTTTTATTGTATGTTATTATTTAGTTAGTAGAACAAACCATTATACTTTTCCAAGAGAGTATAAAATGAGCCAATTAAGGGCTTTGCATATGTATTTTTTTTGATATAGTGTGCAGCCCTTTAGTAAATTCCTCTACTGTAAACTTTATTCATATGGATTAATCTGGCTTTTTCAGTTCTTTGTAAACAGTTGCGACGTATTACATGCTTTAGTAGTGAAGATAACTGAACAAATGTTTTTAGACTGCTGTTAATAAAACTGTTCTACTACTCTTGTATAATTAAGTACTCTTAGTGCTATGGATATATATTTGCAGCTACTAAGTTTGGAACCACATTTTTGTTTCAACCTGTAGAGGAAATAAACAAAAATCAGAATAATTTTAGATGGGCCCCTCAGTTTTACAAATCTTAATCTTGTGAAATAATTTGCTGTGTTCCAACACTAACAATATTTTAGTGAAGTTGGTGTTTCCAGGAGCCAACTATAACACTGGACATCTAAGAAAAACACTTTTGAGTACATTAACTTAAATCCCAAAACATAAAATTACTGTAATTGGTTGTTCCAGAAGAAGTTGCCTTTTTTCCACTACGGCTTTCACTTATTTGTACATTTCAACATTGTTTAATGTTATGTTTTTCTCAGATTACAACCTAAAAAGCAATATAAACAAATTAAAGAATGTTGAAAAATGAATGGATTTTAAAGGCACTGAGATTCCACAGTTTGCAGAAGAGACATGCTGTTTGTTGGAATGAGCAGGGCCCATAATTGTGATAGATTTATATCCTGAGTTACTTTACTCTTTAAAAAAGGAATTTTATTGATATATTTTGTTTTTTACATCACTCAAATTTCTCTTAGTCTTCATTCCCTTCCCATTTCTCAAAGAACAATCCTATATAACAAATAATATTTTTAAAGTGAGGGGAAAAAAAGAAAAAAGAGGAAGAAAAGAAAAAAAATCAGTGAAACTGATTGATATATCAAAAAATATGAAAATATATGCAGTGTACCACTTCTGTGGGCCTCCAACCTCTACCAGGGAATAAGATGGGGTAGGGAGGGGTAGGGGGGACAAGGAGGGAAGGAGGGTAAAGGGAGGATCTCATTTCTCTTCTTCGGAACCATCATTGTTCTTTATAATGTTGCTACATTCACTTTTGATTGTTTTTTTGTGGTTGTTCTTTCCATTTACATTGTTCTAGTAATTATGTATATTATTTTTCTTGACTGCTAAATTTAGTCATGTAAATCTTTTCTTGCTTTTCTCTATTCATCATATTTGTTGTTCTTAGAACACAATAATATTCCATTGTATTCGTGTATAATAATTTAGTCATTCCCCAATTGATGGGCATCTGATTACTTTTCAGATCAATTATTTTGGCAAGTTCAAATGTTAATGATTACCAATTTCTATTAATAACAAGCGTATTTAGTTACAGTCTTTTTCTTTTTCACCTGAAAATGCAATGAGAATTGTAAATTCATTCAACAAAAGTAGACATTAAGCTTCACTTAAAGTAAATAAGAAGACTAAGCCATAATTAATAAAATATTTCCTGTCCTATATTTTCCTTTCTGATACTATCTTTTTTCCCAGTGAATTTTGTCTCCGTATACCTTTTTACCCTAACAGTTTCTTAGCATCTGTCTCTTTCTTTAACTTCTCCTGGGAGTTTAATTTTATCAGGCTTTATGGGCTAAACGTTGAGATATCCAGTTGGATCATAGGATCATAGATCCTATTGACAACCCAAAAGAGTCTAAATGAACCACACCCATTAGGCCCAATTACACCTGTGCCTTGTCAAAAAGTGACTGGTCTCAGATGTGGACTGTCCCAGAGGCAGTGCAGTAGGCCTAAAGACCAGAGGCTAATCTCTGGCTTTTAGACCACAGCTCAGTTCCAGGAAGATACTGCAAAACCATAACAGAAGGCAGCCTGGAAACATTTTTCTTCCCTTGCTTCAGGTATCTTCTGATTTTTCCAAGGTATCTAATGTTAAACATTATAATATATTCAGTAGCTCTTCAGAAAGCTTTCCTTTGATGTAAGTTTTTTCTAAATAACCTGCTGTTAAGGAGTATATATCTTCAGGATGACCTGCCCTGTGGATATTCTTTATTTATGTTAGTCTTATGTATGCCATGGAAAAGGTTAAACATGCATGTCAGAAACTTGAATACTAGACAGAATACTTTTAATTTGCAGTGTTGAAACAAATATATGTAAGCACTTTATTTCACTGCCATGAAGTTACCCATCATGAAAAGATAGCTATAAACCAGGCTTGTTAATAGAGTAGAAACAGAGAGAAAGAAATTGTAACACAATTCAGAATTTTCTCCCAGCATTTGTACATATATGTGTGAATGTGTGTTTTTATATCTTTTTATATTTATGTAGTTTTGCAGTGTCATTAGGGCCTTCCTGGAGCTGAAGGAGTTCAGGTAGAGAACTTAAAATTGTAGAATAACCAGACAGTGCTTATGGCTTTTGGATTTCTTTGGTAAAATGTCAGCACATTTACTGCATTGATTAACATTTTGCAACAAAATAATGATTAAGTCATTTTGTCCTATAATTGAACTTAGGGTGAAGTTGCAATAGAATTTAGACATTTGATTAAACTACCAGAGAAAATGTCTTTTGTATCATTAAATTCTTTCCCATCTTGTAAAGTTACTAAAGCAAAACTTGAACCGTTCTGTGCTTTAGCTATTTACTTTATTGCAGAGATTGCTTACATATCCTGCCTTTATTTAGATTTTGCTTATTTCTTAAGCATACACCACACAGAATTTTCAGAATATACAACCTGATCTCTCCTCTAAGAAGAGACACACGCTGATAATGCTAGGGTACTTTCTACATGGAAAGTTAATGTGATAGACCTGCCATCAGTGGAGAATATACTTAGATCGTTATGGTAATTGTATTGAATTTGCTTTCCTTTGTCCATTTTCTTTTACCTGATCTCTATTATACATAAAAGTGTAAATTTATGTGGTAGCTGGCTTGTGTGAAATCTCAGACTGAAACTCAGCCAGTTTGGATTGAACTTATGATCCTGGCCTCATTAATATAATTATCTAAGGAAATAAGCCATTTTATCTCACATACATAGGGAATGACATGTATATTGTACAGATGTGTATCACTTTGGTGTGTTAGTTTTGTATTTTGTTATGATCCGTGTTAATTTTTTGGTTTAAATTTGATAGACTTAAAATATACTCAATTCAGAAAAATAGAGTTTTGAGGAATGATTGCTAGATTCTTACAAGATTTATTCACATAAAAGAATAGATACTATTGGGCATTTCAAGACAGTTTAAGAAGAGATTATATTGTCCTTTTTTTTTAAGCAAATGAATAAACATGTTGTTTTATGAGAGCAAAGAAAAACATACCTTAAAACAACCTTTTTTTCATCACTAATTTGGTTTTTTCTCCTCACCATCAGACAGCAGCAGTTTCTGTTTATCTAGCAGAATGGTATGTTAAAGGGGCTTTAAACTGCTCCTTTGACCCATTGTCTCAAGTTTTAAATCTTCTCGGAATGTAAGAAAACAAACAAATGCATTCCTTGGAATGCAGTAAGGATAGATAAATTGTTGGATGGGCCAAGAATCACCTCTTTTATTTTAGCGTGTGTTTTCATCATTAAGAGAGTCAAATAGTCTTCATACTTTTAAGAAAAAACTACACCCCACAGTAAAGTACCTATTTATTTTGCCATTACTAAAATTTGGTGCTGTGTGTGACTGCATATGTAAAAGGAATGGTGTCCTCAAGCCTGTCCTAAGGCTGTCCAGCTATATTAACCAGTATAGTTCTATTCATCTTTCCATCCTGGTTCCTCTCCCAGAACAAAACATTGTGTTCAGCTCTGGAGATACAAAGATATATGGAAGGCATTATTAGCCACTGGGGATTTAAAGACAAAACCAAGATAGTCCCTGTTCTCTAGGAGCATCTTAGGATGGGAGACTGCTAACTTTAAAAAAAAAGTATTTCCTATTTTTATAGAATAATATCTGTATGTATGGAGTGGAGAGATAAGGAGGGATATGATCTTTAATCTCATTA